GAGCTACGGCTTGCCCAAGGTCATCCAGCCAGGTGCAAGTGGAGGAGTGGGGAGTCAAACCCGGTCCTCCCAGATTAGGTTTACAATCTCCTTTCCCTTCCTGTGAAGCAGGTGGGGCTGAGAGGGCTCTGACAGAAACTGCCCTTTTTCAAGGACAGCTCTTATCAGAACTATGGCTGGCCCAAGGTCATCCAGCCAGGTGCAAGTGGAGGAGTGGGGAATCAAACCCGGTTCTCCCAGATCGGAGTCCGCACACTTCACCACGACACAAGCAGATGCAACCCTCTGAGGTAGTTCATACTGCGAGGATATGACTTGCCTAAAGTCACCCACTGAGTTTCAGGTCCTCCCTTGCCACTGGCAGAGGAATTGGGGGGGGGGGGCGTGGGGTGGCCAGGACCAGTGTGTCTCCTGGAGGTTTGGGGATGGAGCCTGGGGAGGACAGGGACCTCAGCGGGGTAAAAATGCCACAGAGTCCACCCTCCAAAGCATCCATTTCCTTCAGGGGAACTTCTCTCTGTAGTTTGGGGGTGGGCTGTAGTTCCGGGGATCCCCAGGTCCCACCTGGAGGTTTGGCATCCCTAGAACCCAGCAGGCTTCCATGGCAGAGTGGGAATTCGAACTTGGGTCTCCCAAATCCTAGTGTGACACGTTAACCACTGGACCCCGCTGGCACCTCTTCTTCTGTAAAAGGAATGGTTGTGCCTTTTTGGTGCTAGTTTGGTGTCGTGCTTAAGTACGTGGACTCTAATCTGGGAGGACCGGGTTTGATTCCCCACTCCTCCACTTGCACCTGCCACAGTTCTGTCAGAGCTGTTCTTGAAAAAGAGCCGTTTCTGTCAGAGCTCTCTCAGCCCCACCTGCCTCACAGGGTGTCTCTTGTGGGGAGGGGGAGGGAAAGGAGTTTTGTAAGCCGCTCTGAGACTCCTTTGGGGAGTGAAGGGCAGGGTATCAATCCAGTCTCCTCCTCCTCCTCCTCTCATTCCATTGACCCTCTTTTGAGGATGTCAGGGAAACAGTTTTGATTTGTTCACTTCCAGGCGGGTTCCGAATGCAACTTGGCTCCTATAGCCTTCTGAATCCCAACTTCCGCAAACCTCTTGTTCAATCCAGGGCCTCGCCTCCTTCCACAGAAAGAGGAGGGCCCACCGTCAGGATCGAAAGAACCTCCGGAGGCTTGGGGGAAAGGCAGCCGTCCCATGAGGCAAGGGGGCAGCGGATTTGGGGTGCCATTTTGGGGGTGGATGTCCGGATCACGTGAAGCGGGAGGCTGACGGATCCGTCTGAGGGAGCACAGTTTGGCTGGAAGTTTTGCTGCGCGTGAGACAAGTGGGAGGTGTTTGAGATAACAGTCGTGCGCAGCTCTTGTTTGTTCCAGAGGGTTTTGCACGGAAGAATATCTCTGGGGCTATTT